TGGACTGCTGGGATCCGGTGGGGGGAGTCTGAAGGACGAAAAAATGTCAGGACTGGTTGCAGAAAAATGGGAATAATGGATCAGTTAAGACTTACAGTCTGAAGGTTCAGTTAGAATGTTCGGGAGAGGTTGGTTGTCTGGTCTGGGGGGGAAGCAGATGGCTTACTGAGTTAGAGGAAGCTGAGAGTCCAGGCGAGGAGGGAGCTGAGCAATTACTGAGCAGGAGATCCAGGAGGAAGGTGGGGAGCCGGCGTGGGGGAGACCATGGGAGGATGCTGAGAGGCGAATGACAGGTTGACCAGGTAGTTATTGTAACAGGATGTCTGGGTGAAAAGGTAGGAAGACAAGTGGTCAAAAATCATGAAGAGCTCAAAATCCAGATAAAAGTCAAATCACTAGGAGATACAAGTTGTTCGGCTGTTAGTTGAGTACCCAAGTAGAGTTAATCATCCAGCAAAGTGAAGCCGCCTCTCAGGTGCTTAAATATCCCCTGGCAGGTGATGAGTGGATTGCTTGCAGCTGCTAGCAACTTCCCCACAACCGGACACGCCCACCTGCAGAGGAAAGGAAGCTCAAAAAGTAAATCAGAGAAAGATGACACCCCCAGACCGTGACAGTATCCTCCCCTCAAGGGACGCCACCCGGCGTCCAGACAGAGGAGGCGGAGGAGGAGGAGGAGGCAGCCCGGGCCGCCTCGAAATCCCGGACGAGCGAGGGGTCCACAATCCAAGACCCAGGCACCCATTGCCTGTGTTCGGGCCCGTAGCCCTCCCATTCCACCAGGTATTGGCGACCACGGCCACGGCGCCGAACGTCCAGGAGACGCCGAACCCGGAAACCGAGACCCCCATCAGCCAACTGAACAGGAGGAGGCAGATCCGGAGGAGGAGGAGGACAGAGAGGACTGGAGGAGACAGGTTTAAGGAGGGAAACATGGAAAACGGGGTGAACCTTCATATGAGAGGGCAGCTCCAGGCGAACGGAAGAGGGGTTGATAACGGAGGAGACAGTGAAGGGGCCGATGTACCGGGGAGACAACTTCCTACAATGATCCCTGAGAGGGATGTCTCGGGTTGACAGCCAGACGCGCTGACCAGGCGCATAGTCTGGGGCCCGCCTACGGCGTCGATCAGCCAGGCGCTGGTTGCGGGCGGCAGTCCTCTGCAGAGCCTTCTGCGCAGCTGACCACGTGCGCTTGGCGCGCCTCAGGAACTGGGGGACGGAGACTACAGAGGAGGGAAACTCGGAAGGGAACAAGCAGGGTTGAAAACCGTGTGAAACTTCGAAAGGTGACAAACCGGTGGAGGATGAGATGTGAGAGTTGTGGGCATACTCGACCCAAGGTAATTCAACACTCCAGTGGGAGGGGTTGGACGAACAAAGGCAACGAAGCATGGCCCCCAGTTCCTGGTTCATCCTTTCGCATTGACCATTGGACTGGGGGTGGTACCCGGAGGTGAGGGCGACCTTGGCCCCGAGGCAGGTGGCGAAGCCCCTCCAGACTCTGGAGACAAACTGGGGACCTCGATCCGAAAGGATCTCAATAGGGATTCCATGCAGCCTGAAAACATGTCTGGTGAGCAGAGTGGCAGTTTTGGAAGCTGAGGGGAGAGCCTTTAAGGGGACGAGGTGACAAGCCTTAGAGAACCGGTCCACGACTGTCATGATAACAGAGAAGCCTCGGGAGGATGGCAGGCCTGTTACAAAATCCAAAGCGATGTGGGACCATGGCCTGGAAGGGATGGGTAATGGGGTTAAGCAAACCGGGGGGAGGCTGATTACTGGCTTTACTACGGGCACAGACGTGGCAAGCGGCTATGTATTCCTTTGTGTCTTTAAACATAGTGGGCCACCAAAAAAAAAACGTCTGATAAGGGCTACTGTGCGACTAACCCCTGGATGGATCGAGAATTTGGCAGTATGACCCCAGTGGATGACCTTGTGTCTAACAGACGGAGGAACGAAAAGAGTGTTGAGGGGTACCTTGACTGGACCAGGAGTGGTCTTGAGCGCCTCGAGTACCTGATCTCGGATCTCCCAAGTTATAGAGCCAACTACACAGTCAGGAGGGAGAATGGTGGCGGGTTCGGAGTTAGAGTCAGCTGAAAACTGTCGAGAGAGGGCGTCGGGTTTTACGTTCTTGGTTCCGGGTCTGTAAGAGAGGATGAAATGGAAACGTGAGAAAAACATAGACCATCTGGACTGCCTGGGGTTTAGCCTCTTTGCCTCCTTCAGATAGGCGAGGTTCTTGTGGTCAGTCCATATGATAATGGGGTGCTCAGCTCCCTCCAACCAGTGCCTCCACTCCTCCAGGGCGAGTTTGATGGCCAGGAGCTCCCGGTCTCCCACATCATAATTCCTCTCGGCTGGGGATAGACGTCGGGAGAAAAAGGCACAGGGGTGGAGACGGTGGTCAGAGGGAGAAACCTGGGACAACACGGCCCCCACACCAGCATCAGATGAGTCCACCTCGAGGGTGAACTGTTGAGAGGGGTCTGGTCTGGTGAGGACTGGTGCTCGGGTAAATCTGTCCTTGAGAGCCGCAAACGTCCTCTCGGCAGTGGAGTCCCAAACAAAAGGTTTCTTCATAGATGTCAACTGTGTCAGGGGTGCGGCCATCTGGCTGAATCCTTTAATAAAACATCTATAAAAATTGGCAAACCCCAAGAAGCGTTGCAGCTCTTTACGTGTGGCAGGGGTGGGCCAGTCCCGGACCGCCTGGACCTTTTCAGGATCAGGCCCCAGTCTCCCACTCTCCAGGACAAAACCCAAAAACTTTACAGTGGGGGCGTGAAATTCACATTTCTCCGCCTTGACGTAGAGGCGGTTCTCCCGCAGGCGGTGGAGCACAGCTCGAACATGTCTGGAATGCTCCTCCGGGGTCCTCGAAAAGATCAGAATATCATCAAGGTACATCGTGACAAACTTATTCACAAAATCAGCCAAAACTGTGTTCACCAGTGTCTGGAAAACGGCCGGGGCGTTGGTGAGCCCAAACGGCATCACAAGGTACTCGAAATGTCCTGTCGGTGTCTTGAACGCCGTCTTCCATTCATCACCCTCCTTTATACGGACGAGGTGGTATGCGTTCCTCAGGTCGAGTTTGGTGAAAACAGAGGCGTCCTGTATGGGTTCAAATGTTGAGGACAACAAGGGCAATGGATATTTATTTCTTACTGTGATCTTATTAAGCTCCCGGTAGTCGATACAGGGCTGAAGGGTCCCATCCTTCTTGGAGACGAAGAAAAACCCAGCTCCAAGGGGAGACGTGGATGGTCGAATGATTCCAGCAGCGAGTGACTCAGATATGTATTTCTCCATGCATTGTCGTTCAGGTTTGGAGATGTTGTACAGTCGACTAGACGGGAGAGGAGCTCCAGCAAACAGGTCAATTGCACAATCAAAACTCCTGTGGGGCGGTAGAGAGCAAGCCTTATATTTAGAGAATACCTGCTGAAGGTCATGATACTCCTCTGGAATGCCGGTGAGGTCCGGTGGTGGGGGAGCTGGAGCCTTGAGGATGGGACGGGTTCTAGCTGAGCCCAAACAGGTGACATGGCATTGATCACTCCACTCCCCCACTACGTTAGAAACCCAGTTTACGCGGGGGTTGTGGAGCCTTAACCACGGATGCCCCAGGACGATGGGTGACTGATGGCAGGAGAAAACAAAAAAGGTTAAAGATTCATGGTGATTTCCAGAAACAGAGAGACGAACAGGGACCGTCATGTGGGTTATAGAAGTAAGATGGCTACCGTCCAGAGAGACCACCCTGGTTGGAACCTCGAGAGGGATGATGTAGATGCTGAGCTGTTTTATGATCTTAGGGTCAAGTAGGTTTTGCTCACACCCAGAATCTATCAACGCCTGAATGGCTATGGAGGAGTGCTCGTATGTTAAGGAACAGTCTAGGGCACAACGGGAAATAGCTAGATCAGATGAGCCGCCCACCAGAATTCTAGGTCCTACTGGTGGGCCCTGGAGTTTAAAGGCTTGGAGCAGGTAGAGACAAAATGGCCGGCTAGGCCGCAATATAAACAAAGACCAGACCTCATCCTCTGATTGCGTTCTTCTGGGGTTAGTTTTGCCCGACCCAACTGCATGGGTTCGCTGGGTGGTGAGGGCGGTGCCGGCTGAGCAACCCGGAGCTGAGTGTGTGGAGATGGGGTAAGGTATGAGTGGTTACCTCTATGCCGGTCATTTAACCTCCTCTCAATCCGGTTGCAGAGTGCTATAAGAGCCTCTAGAGTCTCTGGCTCCTGGCAGTACGCCAGTTGGTCCTGGAGGCGCTCGTTTAGGGCCTGTGAGAACGCTCCCTTTAAGGACTCCTCATCAAGGGTGGATGCGGAGGCCAGGGTCCTGAACTCAATGGCAAAGTCAGACACATGTTGCCTCCCTTGGCGTAGGCTCCAAAGCCGTTTGGCTATCTCAGAAGCGGGCTCAGATTTATCAAACGTCAGGTTGAACTCGGAAATGAACTCAGAAAACATACCTGTGAGAAAGGTCGGGGAACGGCTCCTGGCTTCTGCCCATCTGAGAGCCCTGCCGCGCAGCAACCCCAGTATGTAAGATATCTTAGCTGCGTCTGTAACAAAAGACTCCGGGGAGCGTTGGAACGCCAAGCTGCATTGGAGGAGAAAGCCTCTACATGAGCTCCGATCTCCGTCGAATGTCTCCGGTGGAGGAGACAAGGCGACCCGGAAGTTGGATGGGCTGGATGGTACCGGTGAAGTGGGTCCGGGCGGGGTCGGAGCTACGGGAACAGAGGGTTCCGGACGGATGAGTTGATCGTTTAGTTGTTTCATCATAGCGCCTAATTGAGACAGAGCTTGGTTAGTACTGAATAGTTGTTCAGACAGGGATTGCAGGGTCAAACTGTGTTGTGACAAAGTTTCAGCAACAGATTCTGTACTGAGGTTAGGTTGTTGGCTGGATGATTCTGTCATGGTCGGTGGTATATGCCTAACCCACGACATACAGAATCAATCCACAAGTCAGAATTAGAGTTAAATAATGATTTATTATAAAGGAGAAATTGCAGGAACAAAATGTCAGGCTGGACTGCTGGGATCCGGTGGGGGGAGTCTGAAGGACGAAAAAATGTCAGGACTGGTTGCAGAAAAATGGGAATAATGGATCAGTTAAGACTTACGGTCTGAAGGTTCAGTTAGAATGTTCGGGAGAGGTTGGTTGTCTGGTCTGGGGGGGAAGCAGATGGCTTACTGAGTTAGAGGAAGCTGAGAGTCCAGGCGAGGAGGGAGCTGAGCAATTACTGAGCAGGAGATCCAGGAGGAAGGTGGGGAGCCGGCGTGGGGGAGACCATGGGAGGACGCTGAGAGGCGAATGGCAGGTTGACCAGGTAGTTATTGTAACAGGATGTCTGGGTGAAAAGGTAGGAAGACAAGTGGTCAAAAATCATGAAGAGCTCAAAATCCAGATAAAAGTCAAATCACTAGGAGATACAAGTTGTTCGGCTGTTAGTTGAGTACCCAAGTAGAGTTAATCATCCAGCAAAGTGAAGCCGCCTCTCAGGTGCTTAAATATCCCCTGGCAGGTGATGAGTGGATTGCTTGCAGCTGCTAGCAACTTCCCCACAACCGGACACGCCCACCTGCAGAGGAAAGGAAGCTCAAAAAGTAAATCAGAGAAAGATGACACCCCCAGACCGTGACACAACTCATCTAAATCTGGCGATGCGATATTTATCACAATACGGGGGAGAAGATACGATACGTTGCTATACTGAAAACCATTTTTTTGCAAATATTAGACTAAGTTTAATAGGAAAACTCGGACCAGATGCTTCCTGGACATATTCAGTGTTGTCGCGATCTTGTTCCGTTGGGGGGCAGTAACAACTGCTGCCACAGAGTGGTCGGAGTTTGAACTGCACTTTTTAACCCTCCCACTGTCCTAATGGGTGTGACCCCGTGAGGAAAGTTGACCATTGAGAAGGTTGATGGTTTATCCCTTGGGTCCATGTGGCAGGGGAGAGGAGTGAGCACCACCTCACCTCTGCCACGTGGACCTTAAGGGATGAACCATCAATCCTGCTCAATGGTCAACTTTCCTCACGGGGTCACCCATAAAGACAGTGGGAGGGTTAAAAGAAACGAATGCCGTTTCTCAATACTCAAGGATGCTAGTACATTCTTGTGTACTAGACAAGTATGTTCTCGGCAAGATCACCAGAAAGTCTGTTTTGCCGAATACGGGAGGACGAGGACGGAATTTGAAGCAGAACCGTACAAGAAGTGCTTCTTCTTGCTACATTTAAAAAAACAACCTGACATAAAAATAAAAGTCCAGTTTGTTTCTCAAATAAAAAAATTACAATGAAAATGTATTATTTGTATTATATTTGGCTCACATTTGATCAAAACTATTAAAATACTAGAATTTCCCACTCTTTAATGAATTAAAAATGTTTCTTTTCCATCACAACAGCGCTACGGTGCTTTTATTTTGATAGTGGGTTAGCTAATTAGCATTTTGAAGGATGGTGAAGATTAAAACCCAAACAAACACAGCAAAATTTACTGTTTACACATTATTATTTACAATAGCAGACAACTTTAGATTATTTTATTTATATTTCCAATATTAAGCATTTCAGTTAGTAACTTTCTCCTCTGATGTTCTGAGATTAACGGTTTGGGTATTGGGTGCATTGATGTGTCCTCAGTACAATGGGCAGAGCAAGAACACATCCAGAAACTTTGAGCGAACTTTCTGTAATGCACACTTAGGATTGGAACAGTCCTTGGGCCATCGTTGATGACGTTTCACACGGACGTGAGTACACAAATTCAGACAAGCATGCATATTGAAAAACGGCCAAAGTAAATGTAAACTAGATCCCTGAATCCTTGAATGTCTTTTAGCATTGACATTAGCATTTATTTTTATATATTTATGGGTTGACCTTTTGTCCTATATTTGGTTAACAGCTAAAAATAATTGCATTTGTTTAAATTCCCCTGGGAGAGAAGATTTACATGTTCATGTTTACAGATTTTATTTCTTCTTTCTAGATTATTTGAATTCCAACTAATTAGAAATATACACTCATAAAACAGTAGCAAAGCAAAAAATAAAATACCATCCTCATCATTATTGTTTATCATTTATACCCTCTGGGACCTTTTTCAGCACATGTGGCATATCGCTTTCTGGTAAGCATTTCATCTGGACTGCAAATAAAAGTTATGCCTAGAAGAGTGGCATTTTAAAGGCCAAACCAAACCCTGTTGATGTCACATTCACATATTATTATTTTATTTCATAAGCTGTTTATCTGCCCTGAATTAGCATAGAAGGGAAGCACTGTCAGTAGTTGACATTTTAGAGCTCTTACTGTATAACATCCTTTAGCCGATCCAAACTCTTAGTCCTGACATTTTCAGAGGGGGTATTTTAAGACCTCTATGTGATTTTAGGGTTTGCATATCCAGTGTACTTTGTGTACTCTGCATTATAATAATTTGATCCATCTTCAGCACCCATGAATCTTCACTGCATACAAGTCGCTCCTAGTTTACCCACATTTATGTTTTTCAAATCTCTGTTTCCATGGTTACTGAAGACAGTAAGAGACAGGTAATACTTTAAATAGACTCCAAGTTTGTCTACTATTTAGAGTCAGTTAGGAGTGCCAAGCTTTGTTAATTTAAATGGATGTAATCTATTTAAGGGATCTAAATGTAGAGATCTTCATGTCAGGTTCAGCTTTAATTGAACTATTTAGCACCACTTGTCCAAGCTTGGATCTTAGAGGCAACGTGTCCACGGACAAGACACCAAGACAGTCGCACTCCTCTGCTTTAGGCAGGTTCCCTCTGAACCCAAAGAGAGCATTAACCATGGCATCTAACTGCTTCACACTTGGCCCCTAACCAGTGTTGTGGAGTACTGGAATACTAGTACCGCCGTTAAGTATTTAGAATACTAATTATGAGTAACTGTATTTCGGTACAGTTACTATTTTTAAACGTGGTTTTTAGAATACAGTTACTTTCGTAATATCATTGGAATACTTGGAATACTTGTGTGTTTTTAACTTTTCACCCGAAAGATGAATAAAGAATTTCAATAAAAAAATAAAGAAATTGTCGGGCAGTGTCTACGGTCCATTGACGGCTCTCTGCTCTCTTTCTAGTCTCTAAGCGCGGGGTGGGCTCTACGGTCTTTTTCTGCATGGTATTGGATACCAAACAACCAGACGTACTCACGGCTACGGATGTCAAGTCAACGATGCGGTCCACCCTACTCCGTCAAAAAAGATGCAAATACGTCCTTTTCTAAATAAACTTAAGTACCTCCATCTCCCCTTGACTCAAAGAAAACCCTAAGTCAGAAATAGTCCAAAGTTGATGCCAAAGCCGTTTCAAACGATCCACCGCTATCTTTATATCAGTAACATCCCGTCCACCAACAGAGTGCTGTGATTGGCCCAACAAACCAAAACCACGCTGTGATTGAACCACTACGGAGCAGCGGCCATCTTGGTTTGCTAACTTGCAGATACATCCCGCCCATTTGGCTGACAGAGTGCGATGATTGGCCCATCAAACCTATCGAGCGCTATGATTGGACTGCTTTGGATGTCTGTCAATGAGGCAGTCCGCCATTTCATCTTGGAAAAACTACAAAGCACATAAAAAATAAAAACAATACATTGTTTTTTTCTAAATAAGTGCACTGTGATTGGCCAGTCCCAATTATTTTGAAGTGTTTTATCTAGATTACATTTTCTTGCAGACACTATGTCATGTTCTGTGTTCCTTTGTTCCCCAGCCCTCCAGTTCCCACGCCAGGTTCTCCTTTTGTGTTTCATGGCGCCCTCATGTGTCCTTTGTCTGCGTCTTTCCCCATGTGTCTCCTAATGTGTCTCCATCCCTCTCTGGATTCCCTTTTGTGTTCTCTTAGCGCCCTCATGTGTCCTTTGTCTGCATCTCTGTTGTGTGTCTTAAGTTATAGCCACAGCCTCTTGTTCCCCAGTTCATAGTTTGTGTCTCAGTATGTGTATGTGTTTGTGTGAGTTCTTCCCTTAGTCTTTAGGTTTAGTTTTGTGTTTTACATAGTGTTAGGTTTATCTGCCCTCCACTGGTTCTCTTAACCATCCAGATAATTGTTGTCACCTGCCTTCCCTCCAGCCTCACTCCACACACCTGCTTCCTGTTTCCCTAATTGCTCCTCCCTGTCTACATAAGCTCTCCTTGTCTCATTGTTCTTGTCGGTCCATTGTTGTTTGTCAGCGTTATTTGTTCTGTCAGTCTGCTCGTCCCTCTTGTGCCTTTTGACTCCCTGGATTTTTGGATTTTGGCTCCCTGCCGTTTGGATTTATTTTTGTTCTTCCTCCAAATAAAGGATTTTTACTTACATATCCACTCATGCCTCTTGTCATCCTGGGTTCTGCATCTTGGGTCCTAACCTCCTGCTCCTAAACGTGACACACTAATGCTGTGCAATGTTCAAGCACTTTCTCACAGAAACAAATATATTTTCTATTGACTGTTTGATAAATAAAAGTAACAAAAATAATTTAATTGTTTACATTTTTTTTCCCAGTCGGTACATGACATTTAGCATTAATATGCCCATCTTTCCTGCGGGAGTAGCTATCAACAAATTGTGACATTTAAAAAACCTAAATTCTGTTTTTATGGGAAAGTATTCTAAGTATTCTGAATACAGTACCAAGATTAAACAAAGTAATGGCATGCATTACAGAATACATTTTAAAGCAAGTATTCTATATTCTGTAACTAAATATATTTACAAAGTATTCTCCCCAACACTGCCCCTAACCATCCCATTGCACACTGAAGGTCATTCAGACACCAAGAAAACCACATCATCTGCATATTGTAGATTTCAAAGTATTGATAATCCACCATGCACAGACCCTGCTACATTAGGTTTGCATGGGAAATTTGGCTCTAATAAAACATTGATATCATCTCACCACCATTAAGAGTGAAATTAATCAATGCATAAAAAACTTCCATGTGGAAGTTGGCTCTGCATCATTTATTGTTAAACTATTATTACTCATGGATTTGTATTAAACAAGGTTTTCCCATGGTAGATAGTGGAGCTGGGGCTCATTTTCAGCTCATTTTTATTCATTTCTGGCTGCTGATTATTTATTTCTTGGCAATTTTTTTTTATAATTAGTAACTCAACTGCTTGAATATTTGTTTTGCAAAGGTTTACACTTTAGAAACATGTTCTTTCATTGATTGTCAAGGAAGTTTATTATTCCTTATGAATTAAATGTACTTGAGTTGAATTATAAATTTGTGCATGGGCACAGTTACTTGTTTAAATGTCACCCTGATAGTAATTACTATCTTATGCATGTTTACTTGTTGGTCATTTCTAACTTTTGTAATAAAAAAGGTTAAAATCAGGAAACTGCAGGGTTAAGAAAGAGCACAGAAAAGAGTTGTGTACCAGCCGTAAGTATGCGGTCTCTTTAAGACAGCCAAAGTCGTCTTGTTATGATGCCACCAGTATGCGCCACTAGCCCCTGCTCTTGTAAAACTTGGGAGAAGCGTGCTGCAGTTGGACACTTGGACTGAACTTTCTCTCCTTCACTCGAGTAACGTTACGGGTTGTATAAACAGAGCTTGTTGCAAGTATGGCGAGATAGCAGCCATTCAACTGGGCATTATATGGTTGTTAAGAGTGTGTATGTTTATTGAGT